CTATCTGGCCTCCTTGGGCAGCCCATTATACCACCCCAACCTCCTTCACCCATTTCCAACTCTGCCTAGTAATGTGGGTTTTTCTTAAGTACATTGTGTTGGTGTGACCACGAAAAGGACCTCTTGTGCATATTGCACCGGGGGAAAAAACACCTGCAGGAAACACTTACAGCAAAATAAATGATCCCTGTCACTTAAGGAAAAATGCAGCCTTCACTAGGCCCAATGTCTCTCTTCTGCTTTTCTCCATCTCAGAGGTTTCTGTATCAAGCTCCCCTCCAACCCCTTGTGTCTTCCAGCTCCTAAAGAGGGACATAAAGACTGGTGAGAGGCTAGTTACTGTCCCATGGGGCATATGAATCATATGTTATAACAGGGATTAAAACTAAAGAGAAGAAGCTCTGCCGGTGAAATTTTAGGCAGAGTGAATAATGGAAAGAGCCCAGTATCGGAGCCAAACACAGCTGGAACTGATTCCCATATCTGTCATTTAGAAAGTCTTGGGCAAGTTACTTATGTCCTGAGTCGCAGTCTCTTCTTTTATTATTTATTTAGTTTTTATTAAGATAATATTGGCCTACAATGTTGTATATGCTGTAGAGGTACAGAATCACCCTACCACCAAGACACCCATAATTCTCCACTACAATCCATTATGCCCCTACCCACTGTTCTCTCCCCTCTGCCTTCCTGCAGTAGTAAAAGTTCTGTAGTCACAGTTCAGGGTAGGGTTTGTTACTGCTTTGCTTTTATTTTTTAAAAGATTTATTTTTTTATGCATACAAGAACTGGGGAACAGGCCAAAGGGTTGGGGGTGAGAGGATTCACCAGAGACAGAGTGGGGAGAAGAACAGGCAGACTGACTGAAATACACTGCTGAGGGGAGCAGCTGGCAAGACAGGAGAGGTTGGGGGCCATCTGGGTAGCTCCCTGGCTGGGGATCGAACTCCTGCTGCAGTGGCTGCCAACAGCCTCATAGGTTGCCTCTTAACCCCTTGCGCAAGCAGGGAGGCCCCTTTGCTTTGTTTTTTCTATATTCCACAGTCTCTTCTGTGAAATTGAAATAAGCCTCATAATCATTTGAAAATTCACTAGAATTTTGATTATAAAAAAGTAGTACAATATCTGATGCATAGTTGGCATTAAATAAATGTTAGTTCTCCTATCAAAAAGGATATTGAAGAGTTGTTGGGGCAAGCCATGGAGCCTTTTCACTATCTACACTTTTTCAGTAACTCTCACTGGAAACAGAGAGAGAACCTAATGAAACCATTTCTTTGTGTTCCCTAGATCTACTTTCTCTTTTACATGGTGCTGATCAAGTAATAAATTGTGTTTCAGCAAGCTTCATTTTCTGTGCTGGCCACTCTGTTTGGGGCCAACACATTCTTTAGTCACATGTGTTAATAGCCCCGCCTTAGGATATGTCAAAATGAAGAATCACTTTGTTCTCTGCGCCAGGCCTGAGTTGATAGTCTTCATTTGTAAAGATTCAGACCCACCCTGGACCAAAATGTAGGAGCCAGGCACAGATCTCACAACTGCTTTTGTCCCTGACCACATGCGATGATCGGTGTTTTGCTATTCCCGGCACTGCTGTCCTTGCTCAGCCAAAACTCAAGGGTCTCTTGGGATCTGCCCATCCAGCCTCGGGTGCTGCTCTCTCTGTGACTGGGATGAATGCTTCAGAGCCCTCACCTAGCAGTGGGTCTCCTTCAGGAACTGAAAAAGGTTTTGAAAGTATCTTTCTTGGGCTTAGATTGTAGCCCTGTGGTAAAACTGACTCATACGTTTTCCCAAGCTAAAAATTTGTTAGGCTTCTGCCCATAATGAGATTGAATCAGCTCTTTTTTTTTTCTTTCTTAAAGATTTATTTATTTATGCATACAACAACTGGGATGTAGGCGAGGGGTGTGGAGGGTGTGTGAGAGGATTCACCAAGACAAATGGGAAACAGAACGGGCAGATCTATTGAAATACACTGCTGAGGGGAGCAGCAGGCGAGACAGGAGATGTCTGCTGTGCCATGTGGGTCAGCTCATGCTGCAGTGGCTGTGACAGCTTCAGAGTGCTAAGACTTAAACCCTTGTGCCACCAGGGAGGCCCCTGAATCAGCCCTTCTGATATGCTTTGGGAAAACTGTTGACTGTTTTTTTGTAAAAAAGAAAAGTATTTGAGGACCTCCCTGGTGGCACAGGTGGTTGAGCGCCACACTGTGAAGCTCTCTGCAGCCTCTGCAGCGCGGGTTCGATCCCTGCTGGCCGGCGAGGGTCCCATATGGCGCGGCAGACCTCTCCTGTCTCACCCGCTGCTCCCCTCAGCAGTGTATTTTGTCAGTCTGCCTGTTCTGTTCCCCGCTTTGTCTCTGGTGAATCGTCTCACCCTCCCGCGCATCTGGCCTGTACCCCAGTTCTTGTATAAATAAATCTTAAAAAAAAAGTATTTGAATGGTGTTATTTACTTCTTGTCTGTCAGAGAGAGAGAGACATGGATATATGCAACTGTTATATATATATATATATATAGTATGAAATATGTTTTATTTACTATATGTATTATATGTTACATATATGTACATGAGCATACATGATAGCTATAAAATTGGTGGTAATTATATTGTAATAATCAATGTGTCAAAACAACACTGTACATTTTAACTTGAGTAACCTTATATGTAAATTGCCTCAATTTATACAGAAGAGAATTTCAAGCAAAGTCAGAGCATCATCATTCCAGATCTTCATCCAAGATCTACGGATATCTCACCATGAAGGATATAGACCTAGATTACATTCTAATTAATTGTCCATTCCCACAATAAAGAAAAGTAGGGACCTGGTAGGTTATGAAAAGTTTGCCCTCCCTGACAGTTTTCCTGATAATCCTCATAATACTCACTATTGAGTCACTTCTTTTGCAATTCTGCTTAGGCTCAGGGACACAGATGCTCAAGAAGTCTAGGGTATTTATATTTTTTTAATTTATCCATTTATGCATACAAGAGCTGGGGTATAGGCCAGAGATGCCAGAGATGCAGTGGGGGAGGGGGGGTGAGAGGATTCACCAGAGACAGAGTGGGGAACAGAACAGGCAAACTGACTGAAACACACTGCTGAGGAGAGCAGTGGGCGAGACAGGAGAGGTCTGCTGTGCCATGTGGCTAGCTCCCTGGCCAGGGATGTAACTCACACTGCAGTAGCTGCGGATAGCTTCAGAGTGCTGCATCTTAACCCTCTGCACCACCAGGGAGGCCCCTAGGGTATTTCTAAATCTCAAGTAAAACACATTGCAGCTAAAATATTTGACAAGTTATCTTTTAGTAAAACTTTTTAACTTCAAGAATTTTGTGTTTTGCCTTCTCCATCCTTTTTCTGAGTAGAGATCCATAAGCTTCAGAGAATTGTCAAAGGACAGTGAAACCTCAAGCATCTCTAGTGCAGTGGGAGGAAGTTTTCTAACATGATCTGCTGCTTCCATTAATCTAATTGTTACAGGTCTTGGCGCTCCCTTCTGTGATCTCACCACCATGCCTCTGCTGCTCTGTGCCATGTGTGTCTGTGATACGCTTATCTATCTTTCTTGGGACAAAATGCTACTTTCAATACCATGACTGTGCAATTCATAATGGAATTTTTTTCATATTTATTTCAACACTTACTGAAGAAATTCTGTGTACTACTTTACTATGCTAGCCAAAGAAGATAACTGTTATCAGCTATTTTTTTAAGATTTATTTTATTTATGCGTACAAGAACTGGGGTACAGCCCAGAGGTGTGGAGGATGAGAGAATTCACCAGAGACAGAGTGGGGAACAAAACAGGCAGATTGACTGAAGTATACTGCTGAGGGGAGCAGCAGGCAAGTCAGGGGAGGTCTGCTGCGCCATGTGGGTAGCTCCCCGGCTGGGGATCGAACTCGTGCTGCAGTAGCTGCGGACAGCTTCATGGGTTGCGTCTTAACCCCTTGCGCTACTAGGGAGGCCCTGTTATCAGCTTTTGAAGTGCTTAAATGTTTGTAGGTTTTCAGGTTCCTTAGTCCTTAACTATTGTAAGATGAGCAAGACTGCAGCCATTTTGAGAAATAACTGTCATCTCAAAAGGGCATAGCTAGGTTTTGTTTCTGGGCAGAAACTACAACATAAGGAGAAACGAAACCTAGCTGGCACCATGAGAGCTATCCAATCAGGGTGGACCCTGACCCAGGTGTGATAAGTCCCCACATCCTGTCAACAAAGTACAAAAACAGCTGGTTGCTTTGGGAGGGGGTGGCTCTCTCAACCTGGTGAGACTGCTGTGTCAGTACTCCAGGCAGAGTTGGGCCCTAGCTTAAGCTAGCAATAAAGCCTTTTGCTTTTGCATCTCTGGCTCCGTGTGGTCTTTGGGAACCCCGGACAGAGTTGAGGTGCCAACTCCTAACATTATGGCCATGAAAGAATTCAAAGCCATGTCTCAGTAGAAGCAAAAGCAAAGTTTATTAGAGACAGAGTAAAAGTATACCCAGGAAGAAGTCCAGGTGGGCAGAGTGCAGGGAAAATTACTTCAAGGAAATGTGAGCTTAAATAGGGTACAGGGGGCTGCTCACTCCATCCCTTTCCGGGGTTTACTGTGTAGGCACTCAAGGGCTGTCGGTTTATAAGTCCAGTTTCTAAGTCACCCTCCCTTCTCCTGGGCTTGCAGGGTGTAGTTTTATCAGCCCAGGCAGCAGGTTGGATGGAGGTTTGCCTTCCCTGAGCTCTTACTATCCTCAGGTTTTTAGAGGCCTGCCTGGAATTTGGGGTGAGGGGCTGCCTTCTCTCCTCTGGGTGTTTCTTGGCTCTCCGCTGGCTTTATGGGCTCTGGCAAGTGTCTCCTGGGGTCCTGATTATGTTGGCCATTTGTTTTTCGGCATCGCCCTCCCTGTGCTAACACTAGGTCAGAAAAAATAATCAGTCCACTTTGTCAGCTTACAACCTAAGAGGTGTATGTGTGAAGTAACTTCTTGATTTATGTTCCCCCCACAGGAGTTGGAGGCCTCTGAGGTTTAATGGGGACTTTCCAGCATTCCAGACTGCTGCCTGCATTGAAGCTCTGAGTCACCGTCTTTGGGTTTAGGGCACTGGCAACAATGCAGAACCCCAGGCCAGCCAGCCTCCTTGTCCTTCCCTCTAAGCAGAAGCCCACGAGGAGTCTGGCCTGAAATCAGAGCAAGCACTAGAGAAGGATTTCTTTGTTCATGGAAAGAGTCAAGGCAAAGAGGGTTTCCAACAAATTGCAACAGTCTTTCCACCATTCTAAAGAGCCCACCTTCCTTATCAACCAAGCAGCTGTAGCCAGCGACTCCCTTTCCAGCCTTGTGCCAGAAGCAGAGTGTGTCAGTTCTGCTGAACAAATAAAAACAACCCCTCAGAAAAACAGACCCGGAACAGTGACCCTCTCAAGACGTCCCAGTAGGAGGAAGATGTCTGCAAGCCAGCCCAGCCCCCCTGTGATCCCATCCCGCAGGCCTGGATTCCGTATCTGCTATATCTGTGGCCGGGAATTTGGGTCCCTCTCGCTGGCCATTCATGAGCCACAGTGCTTGGAAAAGTGGCGCATTGAGAACAGCAAGTTACCCAAGCACCTGAGGAGGCCAGAACCCTCCAAACCACAGCCTCTCAGCGGCAGCGGGTCCTACAACCTCCAAGTGGCAAATGAGGCTGCGTTCCAGAGTTCCCAGGCTCAGCTGCTGCCCTGTGACCGCTGTGGCCGCACATTCTTGCCAGATCGCCTGCTTGTCCATCAGAGAAGTTGTAAGCCAAAGGGTGAGGGCCCCAGAGCCCCGAACCCCAACAGTCCTGATGATTTTACTGGTCTCAAGAAAGCTGCTAGTGGCATCCCGGCCCGACCAAGGACTCTCGTCTGCTACATTTGTGGTAGGGAATTTGGCACCTTGTCCCTTCCCATTCATGAGCCCAAATGCCTGGAGAAATGGAAAATCGAAAACGATCGGCTCCCCCGAGAGCTCCGCCGGCCCCTCCCACAGAAGCCCCAGCCCCTTCCAGCTGGACAGTCCAACCAAGAGTGGCCAAGTCAAGCTCAGCTGGTGCCCTGCCCAAATTGTAGCCGGACCTTTGCCCCCGACCGCCTTCTGGTACACCAGAGAAGCTGCAAAGCTCAATCGAGTGGGCCACAAGTTCAGAATTTGACCTTAGGGAATATAGGTGCCCCCAAAGAATCCACTGATTCCAAACAGCAGAGGAAATCGGACAAAAGGGCTGTGAGTGATAAGGTAATTCATGCCACATGAGATGCCATGGGTGGACCTGCAGGTACGATTCTATCTTCAAGGGAACAAGAGAAAGTGTCCCAGAGGCGGTCTCCTCAGCCCCTACAATGGTTTGGTTTCTTTCAATGCCTATGTCCACCTCACTGCAGCCTGCCCACCCCGACCCTCTGTCAGACACCAGGGGCTGCGTGTCTCCCGACAAAGTGGACTTAAGAACACCCTTGCCGGCTGGATTTAGAGTCCTCTTCCATTCTGCTGCCTAAAAGAGAGATGGAATTCTTGGTTCTCTGATCTCTCACACCAGTAATCCTTGGGAGAAACCATTATTTGGAAATGAGTCATTAATGCTGTGTCTACATTACAGAGATATAATTCCCATTCCAACAGCCAATATTTATTATGGGTTTATTTTAGTCATCTACCTTAGGAATTCATTCTTGGCAATGCTGGGTGAAGCCGAATTTATCTTACTAGAATAGAATCTATGTCAAAAACCCCAAATGACTTTAACAATAATTAAACACTGGAGCACTTGCAGAAATAGACATGCTCTGCACTAACAGCATGCTTTCTGTTAACACTTTCGTGATTGGAGTGAGCGGGGAATTAACCCCAGCGTGAACATTCAAGCAACTGACTGTGTGTTCATGGTTCTGGCAAATGCTCACTTCCCGCTGCCACTCTCTACCTTGTTTGGGTTTAACACCAGGTACCCAGCCCCTCTCGAGCAGTTCTACATAAGCATCACTACAGGTACCCCTAGCATGTGTGGTGAGGTCTTGTTGGGGCTTTACCTGAAGTTTCCACACCAGCAAGGACTGGGGAAGGGTGCTTATGCGGTTGGCTAACTGAAGACAACAATGGTCCTTGCGCTCTCTCCTGCCATTAACACAAACACGTTAACCTGCCATTACCGTCACACTGTGCAGATGTCAGATCACGGAAATAGGAACTGGTCAAAATCTTTTCTCTGACTTATGACTTGAAATAACCCACCTGCAGGATTCTTTAAATGGACTGTCTTAGGAAACCTAAGGTTACCCAAGATAGCATTAAAAAATAATAATAATAATAATAAGCCACAGGGACTTGGGGGAGAGCATTAGGGGACAGCATCCTTAATTTTAATCTAATTTTTCTTTCTTATTTTTATTGCATTGTTTTGACAAATGTTAGTATTTTTCCTAATTTCTGTGTTTAAAATGAAATGATTATGGACTTACTGGTTTAGAAGATTCCAAGACAATGATCCTAAAGCCGAAGAGTCAGACTAACAGATGCTGGGCAAGTTTTCCAATGAGCCTTGAAGAAAGAACAGCTAGTTTCTTTGCCGAATGAAAACCCAAACTCTTAAGTGTGGCATGGCTGCAGACTGGTCTCATAAACATGATCTGTTTTTCCCATCTTCTGGCTCTTGCTTTTCTTCCAAAATGTGTGGGGTCTGGATTCAAAGAGCAAAAGAATCAGTGTCTCAGGGCCACAAAGCAGAAACCCCGTTAGTGTTCTGACTTACAACCCTGCTTCCTGACTGTATGCATTTACTTTAAATGTTCTCATTACAGATCTCCAGATAGGGAAGAGTGTGGTTGGAATTCTTGTGCTTGTTGTTGTAACACATACTTTGTGCTCCCAAGAGTCGAGCCAACAGGCTGAGCACAGTGTGTTCCCGCTCAGTCACGACTCCTAGAAGAGGCGGGCCTGGTCCTCCGGCTTCCCAAGAAGACACCTCCTGACTCACCCAGCCGTCTGGAGGGGAGAGTGTCAGAAGGAGCGGCCAGCAATGGCCCTTCGATGACTCCTGTGTTTAGATTAGTGTAGGGGGTGACTTTCCGAACAAGGGCATCTAGAGGCATGACTGTGTCAGCACAGCCGGGGCCCTGCTTCCAGACCTGAAAAGGAGTATGTCAGTGAGAAACTGGCACCCACTGCCGTCAGATGTGTGCTGGCCCATTTGGGGACCACACAGGCTTTCATGGGGGCCATAGAAAAGTCATCCAACATGGGGTCCCTTTAGCTGCCAGATTGAAGGCAAGCTTGGGTGAATTAAAATCAGGAAAACTCCTAGGCTTCAGACAGGCATAAGATCGTTTGAAGCAATGGACTTTATTCATTCCTTAGAAAAGACATTTAACGGCCCACAGTGCTTTCGGCAGAAATCACCTCCTGGGTACTGTATTTTTTCCTCTTTGGGTTGTGATTCGATCCTGCCTATTGTTGTTTTTAATTCTTTGTATCATTTAGCATTTAGATAGTGTTGGGAATCATCCATTTTCCATAAAGAGTACTGCCCTATGCATTATTAGATTTCAGAATTTCATCTGCCTGTGACGGCCAATTTTCTGCTAACTGACACATGCATTCTTTTCACAATTCAGATGTTTGCTTCATTTTTTTCTCCTGTCAATTAGAGAAATTTCCCTCTAGAATCCTTGATCTGACTGTAGATTAGCATCAGCGGTCTTGCCCGATATTCTCAAGGGACTCAATCTTGTAGTGACTTCAGGTAAGAAACGTATTTTCAGAATAATGATCGTAGTACTTGGAAGACAATTCACTCCGGTGGGGCAACAACGGACTGTTACACTGGCAGAGTGAATTACCCACCGCTTGGAATGTTCCTCAACAGAGGTTGGCTCCATTCCCTATGACACAGATGCTCCTGCTGCTCTTTGACCAAAACTAAACACAAACAAATGCCGCTGAGCCAAGTCCTCCTCCGAGACCTTGGTGGGCATTTGCTTCCGCATCGCTTTGCCCTCCAACCTCTGGATGGGCTTGAATTGCCTCACCGCGCCTCATCGAGAATGCAAGGCTCAGATCTCACCTGATCTCATGGCAGCCTTGTCCAGCACACTAAGCAGTATATAAAAGAATAAACCCTCAGTGTGGATGCTAAATGAAAAGGTAGGACTCTCCTGGGGTTGTTGCTTTCCCGTAACATGGTCTCTTACTAGCATCACCATCCCTATCCTTCCTGTCAGGGAAGAGAAGCTGGAATAACCAGTTTCCAATTTAGCAAGATTTTAAAAGTGGCATTAATTTAAGATAACATTTTGATGCATATGATGGAAAACTATAGATTTATCATTTTAAATGTAATACTACCTCAACTTAATGAGATCCTCCGATGTCTACTTTAATTAATAATTTCCTAAGTGATGCCAAGGAATACAATAATAGGCGTCCTTGTTGCTTATTATTTTAATATGAGTGAATACATGTTAAGATGCCTTTTAATATTTGGGGAAAAAAACAATCCTTTTCTAAAAGTTGGTCGAATATTATTCTTTGCCTTTAGACCCTTTGAAACTAAGTGGAACACACATTGGCTATTAATTAAGCACAACTACAAGCCAAAGTAAAGTCTTAGTCTAATTACCTTTTATTAGTTAGATAATGCTTTGGGTTATTTTCTTTGGATTTTGCTTGTAGCGTGTAGAAAAGTGTTCCAAATATCCTGTACTGTATTACAAAACAGACATTATATTTTTATAAAGGGAAACTTCTTTCTGTAAATTTTTATTGCTCCGAATGTAGTTTAAAAGGTACCTCTGGCTTCCTGGAAGCTCAGGTTTGAGCTCAAATCCCATCAGACACATCTCTAGCATCTGGTGCTGCCATCTGCTGTTTTCTTTTAAAGTAATGTCTTCTACATTATCAAAAAGATTGCCTTTCTTTTTGTTTTCCCTTCAAGTATGTATTTGTTAACGTCCCCACAGAATACAAACTCCAGTTAATTAGGGCTACAGTAATATATTTCTATGATGCCACAGATGCTGTTTTATAGCTAAGTGTCTCATTTTCTGAAGGCAAAACTATCAATGTGTTGGTCTCAAAGACTCAGAAGGGCAGATTGGATGCGTGTGTGCATGTGTGTGTGTGTAATGTAAGAATTATTTGTTTATTAAGAGGCATGAAAGAATGACAACTCACTTTCATTGAGATCTTTATGATAAGCACTTTGTATATATGATGTCATTTTAATCATAATATTACTAAACACATATTTTCTACACTTTCCAGGTAGAGAGAGGTTGAGTAACTTGTCCAGCATGACACAGTGGGTTTAATAGCAGATGTCAGAGAGAGGTCTTCTAGTTCCAAAGACCTGTGTTTTATCATGTCATTAAGAGACATACCAAAAATGGGGCCTCTCCTGGTGGCGCAGTGGTTGAGCACTGGGCTGCGAAGCTGCCTACAGCCTCTGCAGCACCAGTTCGATCCCCGGCCGCTGGGCAAAGGTCCCACATGGCGCGTAGACCTCTCCTGTCGCACCCACTGCTCCCCTCAGCAGTGTATTTCGTCAGTCTGTCTGCTCTGTTCCCCGCTCTGGCTCTGGTGAATCCTCTCACCCTCCCGCGCTTCTGACTGTACCCAGTGCTTGTATAAATAAATAAATAAATCTCTAAAAAAAAAGAGAGAAAGATATACAAAAAGAGTATGACTACCCTGCCAGGCTGGCCATGTTATTAGAGGAAACAGGAAAAAAGTTTGTTTATTCAGTAATTATTTTGTGTTAGGTAGTAAACCAAATACTAAATATATAATCATAAAAAAGGTAGACATAGTTCTTGATCTCTTATAGTCTTATAGTTTTTAGTCTGAAGGAAGAAATAAAATTTTCAATTGTGATATATGGAGACAGGTGGCATTCAGGATTTGGGCTTGAGAAAACCATTGAGGGAAGGGACATTTCTGCTGGGACATGCAAGTGTGAAAGCATTAGCCAATAGTAAAACATGCTTGGGAATCATGAGGGCAAATAGTCATAGGAATCTGAGTCTTAACTTCAGGGACTCAATTTAACTGAAGATTCGAGGACAGAAAGGATTAAGTAGATTCTTAAAATTAACCCTTTTTCTTTCTACCTCTCGTATATGATAGACTTATAAGCTTGGCTGATTTATCATTGAGAAAATATAAGATTTAAGCTAACATGGAGGGAAAGGAATCACAGAGGAGGAGACATTCTGGCCACAGGTAGCATGTGTGAAGATCTGGAGGTAAGAAGGATCTTATAATAGAACTGAAACGTGTACATGTGATCAGAACCTAATAAAGGAGGAGCAGGCACACAGATGAGACTGTGGAGACAGCATAGTTCCCAAAAGGCATAGAGAGACATCACTAGTTTGGTTATTGTAGCATCCAGGTGAGAGCTGATGATGACTTGTCTTGGGTGTTGGTAGCAAAGATAGAGATAAGGTGTAATGGACAGAAGGTGGTGATAGTGTGGGATGGGGGTGGGGGAGGAAGGGTCAGACATGACTCCCAGATTTCTAGCTTTGGCATCTGTATTAATTGCACTGTTTTTGTTTTTTTATTTTTCATGTTGACCATCTTTTAAAGATTTATTTATTCATAAAAGAGCTGGGGTGCAGGCCAGAGATGCAGGGAGTGAGAGGATTCATTAGAGACAGAGTGGGGAGCAGAACATTCAGATGTACTGAAATACACTGCTGAGGGGAGCAGTGTTCAAGACAGGTCTGCTGCGCCATGTGGGTTAACTCCCTAGCTGGGGATTGAACTCCCTGTTTTCTAAGGTGGGAAGAAACTTTAGGCTTTGGGGATTAAGATCAGTATTTCCATTGGGAACATATCAAATTCAAAACGCTTATATATAAGTGGGAAATTCAGGCTGAATAGACCAGTCTGCAATACTGGAGGTTGGACTGGGCTGGGATCTATGTTTCTGCAGTGTTAACTTACATTTAAAGTCATCAGAATGAGTATATGGTTATGGTTAGAGAAACAGATCCAGGGCTGAGCCCTGAGGCACTGGAATATTTAGGATTTTGAGAAAGAGAAACTGGCAAATGAGTGCCTGGAAATACTGGAAAAAACAAAAATCTAGCGAGTATGGTGCCATGGAAGTTTCAATCAAAGAAAATGTCAAGAATAAGGGTATGGAAGACTGGAATGCTGAGAAGTTGAGTCAGATCAAATACCTATTTGATTTGACAATGTGGATTTAGTTTGGTCATATGGAAAAGAACACATACAGTGTACCAGTGGGATTGCAGAGTGTATTGGATGATGAGGATAGGATATGTTTTGAGAAGTTTGGCTGTGCTATCTAGAAGAGAAATAAAGGATGGGCTAGAAATATAGACTTTGGGTGGAGAATTTTCTTTAAATAATAATAATGGCAGCTTTTGGACTATATATGAAGACAGAATCATGATCCACTGGAGAGAGGATTGAAAAAGCAGGAAAGGTGATCAGGGTAAATGTCAAACCTAAAAGATGGGATCCCCACTTGTTCTGTATAAGGAGGTTTCTCCCTGTTTCGGGCAGTTGAATGCAAGTGATGACAAGTTTGTTGGTCGATAGTAGAAAGATGAAGGAGCTATAGTCTGTTAGCTTATATCTTATATTTTCTCAATTAAGTACCAGACAAACTTATCAAGCCTATCAGATGACAAAGAGACAAGTGTTAAGAAGAAAACAGATTTGAAGGGCTATTCAGTCCTTTGTCTCCTTATCTCTTTAGTTGAACTGCATCCCTGAAATCAAGACTAAAGCCTCCTAGAACCATTTGCCTCCATGATTCCCAAAGAGAAGAATGAATAGGAACTCATGGAGGAGGTAAGTAAACTTCCTCATGAGTCCTTCTGGGCCTTCTTACCCTTATAATCATCTTTTGTGGCCCTAGCTCACCTCTTCAGCTCAGCTGATGTCATGAAAACCAGTCTCCGCCTCACAAACTGCCCCTGATGATGCTGACAGCTGGCCTACTAAAGTCCGCTCCTCTTGGCCTTGCTCACCTTTTCTTGGTGCCAACCATGCCTGCATATCCAGGCAGCATTCTAGGATCCTACAGCTCTCTGGTGTAAAAGTACAACTGTGAGGTAACACGATCAGATCTCTTATGCTGTTGGCTCTAGAAGCCAACCCCAAGAATCTGTGTGTGTGTGTGTTGCATGTGTGTGGATTATATGGTTGTTGAAGGTGGGGGAGTTACAATTTTTAGATTAACAGCATCACCATTGAAATTAATAAGGAGCTTCTTAATGTAAACAGTTGAAAATTAATACTTACCTATATTAATTATAGTCCAATATAATTATTTTATAAAACTCGGACTCAAATGATAATTTATATAATCACATATCCATGGAGAGAAAGACTAATAATTACAGCTATCTGCCCCAGAGCCCCAAGAACAGACAAAACAGGTGGTTAGTGCATTGGATCCCAGTGTGTGACTTTCTGTTTCTCTGAAAAAGGAAAATACTCATGGAAGCTCTGGAGAGGAGCCCCTGTTATCAGTTGAAATATTATTTAGGCCTAAGATGCACAAAACTATGACATGTCATGCTCTCAAAAAATTTCTTACTGAATTGTTTTCACATGTGTTCATAAACTGGCTGCTCTGTGTCACCTTTATCTCCTGATTCTAGCCCCATTTTCTTGTCATGGATGCTTGGTAAATCCTGTGTAATATGCTGAGTGGATATACATAATTCCTAGAAATCCAAATTCCAAGGTCAACAAGAAAAATCTTTTCCAAAATTCTTAGAACTCTGCCAAACACAATGTACTGCAATTTTAAAAGAATCTTTATTGAATGGAGGTGATTTTTTTGTGTGAACAAAGTCTCTCTGCTAAATGTGAGACAAGTTCAGTCTTATGAATAGATGTAATTCACCTTCTTATGTCTATTATCTCTTTCAAACGTTTAGCTCTATGAGGTACATAATATTGTACATAATACAGACATGTTCTAGAAAGTGAAGGAGGGCTTACTTAATGAATCTAGAAACTTAATGAATAGCCAGTGTTTCTGCTCCAAACACCAGCTCTGATATCATGATCCTGTCTTCATTGCGTCCAGGCAGCTTGTTGTTTAAGCCCAGGTCACCTTATGTAAGCAGATACAGTGAAAACAGGTGGTATAGGCCTAATGTTTGGGACACCAGAGACAGAGTGTTGAGAGTGAAGACAGGAAGGAATCCAGGTTAAGACCTGATAAGAAAAGAAAAATAAAAACAACTGTTTCCTGAGGTTAGAATTTTTTCTGGCCTGTTCAAGGTGATTTCCTTTAAAAAAAAAAAAAATATTTTTTACGCGTATAAGAACTATGGTGTAAGCCAGAAGTGTGGTGAGAAGATTTACCAGAGAGAGTGGAGAGCAGCACAGCAGAGGGCGAGACAGGAGAGGTCTGCTGCGCCATGTGGATCAGCTCCCTGGCCGGCCAGGGATTGAACTCATGCTGCAGAGGCTGCAGATATCTTGATAGAGTTATCTTTAACCTGTGTATCGCCAGGGAGGCCCCCTTCTTTTTTTGATTGTAAAACTTCTTTCTTGGGTTTTCCCCCTGAGGTGGGAACCTATTGGCATATAAGTTGTGGGCAAATCAAACATTGGAAATCGCCCAACTTCCAAGTTCCAGGTCAGATAGTGTCTGTGTTTCCATTTTTTCCCCTCTCTACTTATAGAAGGTGGAAAAACTGAATGGCAGCCTCAATTTGTGGGTTTTATTATTTTCTCTCTTACCTCCCATTGTTCCTTTGTTGCTTCATTTTATCCTGTGACCAGATGTCATCAGACCAGAAGTCATCAGACCCAGGTTAGACCTGGGGCAGCCCTTGGTCATTTTCCTCAAAGAAGGTTGTTCTTTATAAGTATTTCTCAAAAAAAAAATTTGTCAAAAACCTCACCTTCCTACCAATATCCTGCTAAGGGATCAGAAAAAAATGGCATTTTATCTCAATGTGAAAAAAAAAAATAGAAATCTTCAGCTAAAAGAACCATGTTCCTTTCAGAAAGAGAGACTCTAACTTGGAATTTGTTCTTTAACCTATGTCTTTCAACATTGTATCTTAGGTTGAGTAATTAAATAACTAAAATGCCAATTATATATTCAGAATACTCAGTTCTTTTTAAAATAAGATACATGAAGATATACTTTAATATTAACATTTCCTAATGAATGGCCAAGTCTTTCTTGTGAAAAGAAACAAAATCAAACTCCAACTCTTAAGTATACCAGACCCTCTAATACTTGGCCAATAGACAGGATGGATTGGAAAATTCCTTTACGTGGCATCCAGTCATTTCCAAAAACAATTTAGGTTCAAACAACGATCCTTCCAGATGTGACATTTGGGTAAGATTGTTTGAAAACACCACAAGTAAATGTGAAATAACAGTTTCTAGACTATCCAACTCTGCAATTGTTGAGGTTTGAAATTAAAGTATGAAGTTACTCCTATATATTAAAATGCTATTTATACTTTGTCTGCAAGCCTGGGGGAATGGAAACTTAATTATACACATTCAGTCTCAGTGAAGTTGGTTGTGATTGTGTTTTCAATGGCCACAGGCAAAATTCTCACTGGGAAAAAGGAGTCTTGGGTGACAAATTTTGATCTTTCCTTTCAGCACTTTTTGCACCCTCTCTGCCCCTGTGAACCATTGATATTGTCGGGAGAGAGCTGGGAGAATCTGATAAACTCCATAGAAAGATCTCTTACAAGACTATTTGCATTTTGAAAGAGACTATGGGAAAAAGGCAGTGCTCAATCCAAAGGCATGAACTTTTAGAGTAGCCAAGAGAGCAGAAGTAGGATATCTGTGGGTTTCTCTCAAATCTAACCTGAAGTCTGATTCTGGACACACACAGCAGAGCATGGTAATCTGCTGACCGCGAATGACTTACCTGAGTCACTGGAAACAGCTGGAATTAGGCCCAGAATCAGCTTAGAGTCACACAATGAAATTGCTTACTGTTGAGCAAATCACTTCCCCTAGCTTCAGTTTTCCCGCTGCAAGAGGTGATATTGAGAGAATGCTGCCAGGAAGGGTGCCTGAGGAATCCTCACCTGTGAGCTTCTGCTCCACCTCACAGTGGCAGTGCAGTGAAAGGCAGCATCTGAAGACCCAGTATCTATCTGAGTGAAAACCAACTTCACCGCTTACAACTATGCTGTGCCTCAGTTTCCTGCTTTTTAAAATTGGAACATTGACTCTGGCTCAGAGGATGACTCTTGATCTATTAAGACAAATCATGTGACCTACTTAATACGGGCTATGGTACTTAGTAAATGTTAGCTGCTTCTTGTTCTAACATTTTCAGTGTGGGGATATCTACAAGAATATTCTAAAAGAGGTTCTGCTCTTCTTTCCTCAAGTCAGTGGAAGAAAAACTCACTCTCTCATTCCACATCCAAACTTTCTGGATTCTATGATATGCCCTGTGCACTTACCACAGACATCTCAATTATTTGGCCTAATGGAAGGGATCAGGAGTGTGGAAAATCTAAAACAGCAGTTAAAGGCCCAGATTCTTTATGTTTAGTTTTGTCATGTGGAAGGAGGAGGGATGTTTGCTGATGTAAGGACACTTAGTCAAGCGGCTGAACAGCTACACAATCACATAACAATTTCCTCAGACCCTAGTAAAAGAGGCCCTATTTTCACACCCTGGGATCCATCTAGGATTGGGGGGAGACAGAAAATCCTCCTGCAAGAAATGACTTGAGGATTTCTTTTGGTTTGTGAGCATGTAATCTTGGACACCGGGCTCATCCCTTACTGTCAGAGCTTCTTTTGCCTAAGGATAGGCTTCAAGCCTCCTGTCAAATTCTGTTGTAATTGCTTTAATTCTTCAAGCCAAACAGAGCAGGGAATTTTCAGTGTGACAATCTCTAATATATCACTGCACACTTTATTTCTAAAATACTTCCCCTACTCCCTGTAAACTTTTTAAATTTCAGAGATTCAGTGCTTTGATTCACAACATTAACTCTATAGGAGATTCCAGATAAAATGCCAAAATTCCTTAGGTAGGTAACAACCTTTTTTAATCATTGGCATATTAATTCAAACAGACACAAGTTTACCTGATTTTTCAGAGATGAGCTGTAAGGCAAATACCTTTTACTGGGGAGAAAAAAGGGGGAGGGAGTGGGAAAATTGATTGTTCAGAGTCACAATCTGAAACGCTTTCAGACTGGGTGGCTATAAGGAGTAGTGGTGTCTGTGGTATTCTGAGAGTAGGTCCCACCCCCTGGAAGAGTACGATAATCATATTTTTAACTTTTTTTTAAAAAGATTTTTTTATTTATGCACACAAGAACTGGGGTACAGGCCAGAGGTACAGGGGGTGAGAGGATTCGCCAGAGACAGAATAAGGAACAGAACAGGCAGGCAGACTGGCCTGCAGACAGGTTGCACCCTGGCCAGCCAGGGATTGAACTCAGTGCTGCAGAGGCTGTGGGCAGCTTCATAGTGCTGTGCTTAACTCCTTGCACCACCAGGGAGGCCCCATATTTTTAACTTTTAAGAACATTGTTTTGATAAGTAAACACCCCTGTCTGCTAGCTGAAATGGCCTTCAGTCCTTCAGTTTACAATCCGAGAGCCAGAGTATGAATCAGATGGTAAACAGTTCTAAAGCATAGCCTAGATGAAGGCTGTAATGATAAGGAGACAGCCTGGGTCATGAGGAGACATCTGTGAATGCCAAAGAGATCCGCCTAGTTGTAGGCAGGAAGCAGGCACATTCCCTTCATGCCTGAGCTTGGGTAGGTAGCTCATCTTCACTGGCCAACCACCCTTGAATCATCTGGGGGAGCCTCCCGGACAATGAGGCCATCATCGCCACATCCGGAAGCCAAACCTTCTAAATTTTATAGGGCCACAGTAGTGGACGATCCTAGGAAGTCCACATCTGGAGAATGGTTTTCAGAACTAGCCTGATT